AAGACTCTTCAGATAGTAGAGTGCGTGCATGGGCGTGCTCAGCGATGGGTTCATTGCAATGTTTTCAAGCCTGTCGCGACACGGAGCGTCACATGCGTTAGGCTTTACCCATGGGATGTCAGACCTCCAACGATACGACACGTCAAACGACAAATTTAGCTCGAGCAGAGGCATCTTTGTCTTTGCAAACCCAGCAGTGAAGTGGACGAGGCTGGGCTGTTTGGTGGAAATTGTGTTAGACGTGAATGATACGGCGGGTCTTGTTTTGTGCTCGGTTTTGCCGGCAAGTAGCGATAGTGACGATTGAGAACGATCTGCCCGTGATGAAGTCGTTGTTGACAAAAAGAGGTTCTGGTGAAAGGCAAGATGCACCCGCTTCCACTAGCGCTGATATGGACAGCTCCAGAATGGTCTGGAGGTTTCACTGGCGTCAGTGCTCAAGAGAGGCCGCTCCAAATGCATGAATGTGTCACCGCAGAATTTCTTCCACTACGAAGGGTAGTGGTGCTGTAACTGCTTGTCGTCCCGCTCCTCGATGGGGGGTTTATCGGCAAACGGCGGCAATGTTGGCGAAACCGAGTGGTTTTCCAGTTGCTGTTCTACGAGCAAAGAACGCCGTGGTGATGACGTGCAAGTTTCCCAGATAGCCGAGGACGGAAGACACAACAATGCGTGGACCCCACATAGCATTTCAGTCGTCGTCGTCGTCGGCATTCGGGACGGCAGGCTGTTCGTCGGGTGGCACGGGGTCTTCGGCCCGGTCAACGTCTTTAGGTGGCGAACATGGGAAGGCCGCCTTTTCTGAGAGCAGGAGCAGGAGGACTGGAATGGTCAGAGGTGACATCTCGACACGAGATGCAGAACGACGCAATCTAGCATGAGGGAGTGTTGCAGAGGGTTCGAAGCTCGTTGTTGTTGTTCAGGGGACGAGCGGTATGGCCATAACTGGATCCCGATTCACGTGATTCATGTATGCAGACTGGAGCGGGTAGCCAGCTACACTGGGGACGGTATTTAGTGTCAGCGCTAAATTAGTGTCACCACGTAAATAGTGTCACTGACACTAATACATGTCAGAGCCGGGGACGACGACGGATCAATCCAGACATAGAACAATCCTTCCTTTGAGCCGGACCCATCTCACTGCCGGTCCGGAGGGATGGTATTGGTATGCGATTCGTTCGGTTCGTTTCGGGAGCACTAATTTGTGCGCGGGAGTGGAGATACGCAGGCATTCATTACTGAAAAGCGTTTTGTACTAAGAACAGGTCAACTGGTCGGTCTTTGGTCTGGTGTATAGGAAAAGGTTGGGCGATGCAGAGTTGTAACAAGGGGCATCTGCGATAAGGAAAGAGGAGGGGAGGGGGGGGGGGGGGGGGGTGATTAGAGGCAGGCATGTGAGGTTTTGGTAGGACGAAAAGAAATGCTGTAGGCTCTAATGGGATCGAACTTACACTATTCATTGTTACGTTTGACAATATCAGTGACAGTAATACCGTTTTCACTGAAATAGTGTAAGTACGGAAATAGTATCACTGACATTAATATATGTTTAGGGGTCGATATTTCCATAACGGAAATGGTATCAGTGACACTAAATACCGTCCCCGGGTGTACAGTACTGCATTTCCGGGAATACCTCCACCCAGATACTCTTATCTCTGGACTGGCGATTGGCGTTAATGTCAGTTTGCGTTCAACGAGAAATCCACCAGTACGATCTTCCAATGAAGCTAAAAGTTTTAGAATCGGGCTTGTCAGCCCCGATTCCGATAAGTTGAAATTCAAACATCTACGCAGATCAACCGTGACATGCCCTCAGGAATTCAGACTAGCCGATGCCTACCTGTTACTCTTCCAGCCTTCAACCTGCTGTCTACTTCCATTTGCTTGCGCTGTCGTTAAACCCTCTGTCGTCGACCGCTGCCACAACTATTTTGCCTGTCTCCAGCTCAAATCGATAACACCAGCACACCTGTGCCGCATATGATTGCGCAAATCTGTGAATCTGCTAATCGACCATCAGATATGGCTTCGTGCGAAACTACTGTGTTGACGACTTGAGTGTCGAGAGTTGAAATGGTCGTTTTCTCTGTCCCCTCTAGCTCCCAGTTGTGCAGCGCTAGTCGGTTTTTTAGTACTGCTCTAGTGAGACTAGACGTCGGCCGATACTGTACGCATAAAAGTAGAAAGATAAAACTACGTCAGCAACTGTAAGGCAGTAGTGGTACTGTCGGACTGTAACGTCTCAGCTACAGGTAATTACGGTCATAGCATCCCTCGCAACCCCAGGCAGCAGTGACGACCGCTTCAGCGTGGCTACTCCGGCAGTGGCGAGCCCGGTTCTGCCATCATCTTCAAATTATTTCTAAAAAATTACCCCGTAATCATATGGCTCACCCCGCCGAGAAGAATTGGCATGGGGAAAGCCTCGCCTCTCTAAATCAATGAAGATGTATTCGCGTTCGCCTCTCAATGGATGCTAGAATGACGTGAGAGTTTAGTCTGTTGGGAGAGACGACGCCACACCGTCGGAAAGTCATTTTGAGGTTTTTTTCAAGTCGAAAGCTGCACAGCATTGCTAGATATACCCCACCTGCCACACCGACGCTTCTCCGTTCAGCATTTTCCCGCCTGTATTCTCCGTCACATCTTGTCCATCGCCCTCGATCTCCGTGCTTCATGTTCGCAGATTGTTGGCTAGAAAGGTCTTGTCTAGTCTACCTCCAACGTAAAAAAAAACGCAACATTGGACTATTGAGAAGAGAAGAAAACTAGGACAATCTTAATGCACCCAAGCCATACCCACAACACCTGCACTCTCTAATCTTTGCCCACAATCCCGCCACGGTCCACACAATTAAAATCTCTCTTGTCCTCACCAAAATATCCCACTTTATACGTGCATTGTTCATGTATCAAGGGGATTGCCTTTCCACAACAGCCGTCTTTACATCGCCCATTTTGCAATTGCATTTTCACAAGGTCATGTCTCAATTTTATTTCATTATTGAATTACCTCATTGCTTCTACTTATATCTTCATCTCCGGCCTTTCCGCAAGATTCATTCCATTACACATCGCCAGGCAGACACAGTCTTCTAGTTTGTCCAATGCTTTCTAGTCTCAGGGATGTAAGCAAAAACCCGATCGTTCATGAAAGAGGCCGTCTCCGTAACGTTTAAATCGCCTGCGATTAAGAATAAAGCTGTACATAGGCCGTCAGTTACCAGAGCACGGTAACAATCTCCAGATCCCATATTCTGATAGGACAGGAAGTAGTCACGAAAGAACACGAAGTATGCAGAGGGTCTCATTACTCTTGCAGTTTTATTTAGAAGATGGTGTATATGCCGAAGAAGGTGCCTTTATTCCATCAAAACGACGGTGACAGTTGCACATAACGGATCTGGGCGTTCGTTGCACAACTTGACACATGCTCCGACTTCACCTATCACAGGAGCTGTACGATGCTACTCAAGCCACGTCCTACGGCGTACAGGAGGAACCGAAGGAATTTGCTGAATCTAGTCTAGGAAAGTGATACAGGTATAGACGAGACAATATGGGCGCGGTACCAGCAACTTTTTTTTTGTGACGCAAGATGTTTCATCAGTTTCCTCTACGCAGCGTAATTGTTGCTGATTACATAGGTGTGCGTTGTAAGAGCAGTTTGTTTTATTGCGTTTTTACTATGAAAGGGGGTAGATCATGTGCCTGGGAAAGAAAGGGACTACTTTGTTGAGCTTTTTTATGATAAAGAGATGCCCATTTTCGCCATGTTTGAGCAATATCATCAATTACACTCATGTTAGAATAAGATATGTCTCGCAGGGCGACGGAGGCGATTCCATTATGCTGTTATTGAATGAGACTGGGTGATTTGAAAGAGGATTCCGTTTCTGACAGCTCAGCGCAACTCGTATTGATGAAAGGAATGAAATCCATGAATCTGATACCGAAAAGAGGCTCTTGTTGGACTCGACTACGGTTGTCTTTGTAGGAGAAAACCATGTTCATATAGTTTTGCCATGCTTAGTTTGGAAAGTATTAGAGGGGGATGAGGATCGACAGTTTGCAGAGTCCAAGTCACTTGGTGAAGGTTAAAATACACCGGCTTTAAATAGGCTTGACTTGATAGAAAAAGAAAGAAATGACCCTTTCAGAAAGACCAGGCCGGAAGAGAGAGCAAGCGCTCCCGTTCTTTTTTCGTTTTAGGCGGAACATTGGTGTTTAGAGGTTGTCACGCAAAGGTCAAAAAAATAAGAAACGAAACATGTGTCCCGAAGGGTATACGATATACTGTAAATTTACACGACCTTTTGTTGTCCGTGAAAGTTCGAGCGGAAGTAAAATTTCTGCAAATAAAATGGCCAGGAAGTTGGTAAAGGCAATTCTTCTAATTTTCTTCACAGCCGGTGTTACTGTACCAGCCAGAAGCATTAAAAATTGAATGGTCAAACCGAGGTGAGCGGAACACTGTTCTTTGGATCTATGGCCTGGCGGCCCAATCTGAAATGTCCTGAGCGACATGTACCGAAATCTGGACCATCAATGCCTTCATTCTTTGTCTGCGTGATCCCTGCTGCAAATGTAGTCTCGCCTCCCTCTTCACCTGAAACACTTCAACAAGCTTGTTCTTCACAACCTCCTTCAGCACTCTCTTGTCTCACCCTTCGAGTAGCCAATTCCGCGTACGAGAGCGTTTCAGAGACTTCATCGCCGAAAAAGCCACAGAAGCCCTCGCCATGTCCGCCTTTCTCGTACCAACATCGGGCCCACTCGTCACACGAACAACCTTTATCGTGCCGCTATCCCCAATCCGCCCACAACCGGCAGCTCGCTTTGCCATGAACGCGCAGCAAGAACCACCAACAGTTTCGACATCCCCACCTGCTTCCACCGCGACGATCGACGCGACAAAACCGGCCGCAACCGACTCAGGTTCCACTTTCAAACTGCCCGACGAATTCCCCACCCCACCCCCACTCTCCACGCTCTTACACGCAATGCCGTTCAAGCGTCCCTCCCCCATACGTCGCTTCAGTGCATCGTGGTGCATGCTCCGCCAAGTCAGAGGCCGTGTGTCGAAGGACACTGTGCTCACGGCACGCATTGGCGGCGCCATGTCTGAAAGCGACTCTCCGTCCGGCTTGCCTTTTTCTGGCCCGCCAGAACTCACCCTTCCTGTCCTGCTCAACGCCCTCAGAGTCGGCGCGCATGACCCCCGCATTGCACATCTTCACCTGCGAATCGATGCCCTGGCGTGCGGATGGGCCAAGGTCTTTGAGATGCGTCGCCATTTGGATTATTTCCGCGCGTCAGGCAAGGGCATTACTGTGTTTATGGAGACGGGAGGTCCCAAGGAATTTTTCCTTGGCATGGGTTTCGCGCTCTACGTCGCACCGGAGGGCGGTTTGGGGTTGCGTGGCTTTGCTGCGAGCGGTTCGTATGTCGGGGGCGTGCTGGAAAAGATCGGCGTGGCTCCGCAAGTGGAACGCATTGGCAAGTATAAGAGTGCAGGAGATCAGCTTGCGAGGCGTGATATGGCACCTGCCCAACGGGAAGTGATTAATTCCTTGTTGGGGAGACTCACAATACGTGGACGAAGAGTGTTTGTGAAGCGATTGGAATCTCGGAGAGCGAGCTTGCTGCTTTTGTCGATCGCAGCCCGTGGGAAATGAATGAGTACGTAGAGGCAGGTCTTATCACGGGTATCTGCTACGAGTCGGATGTCGAGGATCAGCTCAAAATCCGCTTTGGGAAGGGCCCTTTCAAGAAGGAGGAGGAGGTGGTGAAGCAGCCACTGAATTCAGTCGATGTCCGCAGGTATGTACGACGCAATACCGAGAAAATGGTAGGCATTGGTGGCGGCAAAAAGATTGCCGTCATCCGTGCTGTCGGAGCGATTACCAGCGGAAAAAACGGTTCATCGCCAGTAACCGGAAATACGCTGGGAAGTGAAAGCTTGGTGGAGCTGATCCGCAAGGTGCGGGACGACAAGCGGTATGTTGCTTGCTTGCTGCGATGCAATTCGCCCGGGGGCAGTGCACTCGCCAGCGACATTATGTGGAGCGAGCTAAAGAAGCTTGCTGCCGTGAAGCCTGTGCTAGCAAGCCAATCGGACGTGGCCGCCAGTGGGGGGTAGTACATCAGCATGGCATGCGAGATTATTGCCGAGCCGTTGACGATCACGGGAAGCGTGGGAGTAGTGACAGTCAAACCTAGCCTCGGGGAACTATACCGAAAGATTGGGTACACCAAGGAAAACATAAGCGTTGGAAGCAAGTACGCGGAGCTACTCGTAGATGATAGACCGTTTACAGAGGAGGAATCGGAGTACTACCGAGATGGGGCGATGCAGGCGTACAAAAAGTTTGTGAACAAGGCGGCGCAGAGCCGGGGCAAAACGTACGAGGAGATGCACGCCGTGGCACAAGGGCGAGTGTGGACGGGCTTGCAGGCGAAGCAACAAGGTCTTGTAGACTACCTCGGGGGCATTGGAAGGGGCGTGGAAATCCTGAAGGAGAAGGCAAAACTAGGGGCGGACGAGTACGTTCGGCTCGATGTGGTGCGCAACCCCGTATCTCTCGCAGCTCGACTTGGACTGAAGCCAGCTTCCACTCAGGCAAGACATGAGGCAAGTGTGATGGCATCGCTGCGCCAACCGCTGGCACTGGCAGAGGTTGACGCGTCGTTGGGCGGGTTGTCGCCGCTGACGCGGTTTGTTGTAGATGCGACGCTAGCACCGTTGTCGCAAAATTTTGGTTTTTGGACAAATCGTATGCCCGCGCTTGAGGGCGTGTCTTAACAGGCTGGTTTTTGCTTTGCCTTGCCCGGTTTTGCCAGGAATACTTTTAAATTCTTAACAAATACCGTATGCTTCTTAAGCCGTTGCTTTTCTTAAACACATAAATTAAAACGTAGGAGCCACTCATAGCACGCCAAGTCACTTCTTTGGGCAAGGCAAAGCAAACCGCAGCAAAACGGGGCATGTTAAGACACACCCTCAGGGTGTGTCTTAACATGCCCCGTTTTGAGACCATCTTACGGACGCTGCTGCGAGATGCCTAGCGACATACAGGTACACGAAAGAGAGTACGTCTTCTTATTGAGGGCCTCCTTTAAGACAGCATGGACAGCCATGTTTGGATGTATATGTTTGCGATTTTCAAAATATTACATGTCCAATAATTTAATGTATTGTGTCAGCGCGCCGTGATCCGTAAATTGGCTCAAGGGGTGCATCATACCGGGCTATCGATAGGGAAGAGGGTAGAAAGGATGTCTTTTTGGGTCTTGGTTTGGTTCTGTCGGGAGACGAATCGCATCTCCTTCGATTGCCAGCCTCCCGCCTTTTTTCAAGTGTACAGGGGGGTCGCGATAGAGTGCCATCTTTGTTAGTGCCAGCTCCGATACCCTTTTGCGGGTGGCGCGAATTTTGAGCCAAAAACTAAGGGTCTCCAGAGAGGCAGTTGGATGGACGTACTGCTCGAGAGCCGCTGCCGCCGCGGAAAGATATTATGCAGTTGCTTACTAGAATAGAGACTATGGCGGAAAAAGGCAGGGTCGATGATGCAATTGGACATCTGCAAAAGTGTAGGCTGGCATTTATTGCTGCAAAAATGGAGGAAGTCAATGCGACGGCTCGGAAGCTACTAATGACATAAATGCTTGATTAGACTTGAGTCTGTAGTGAAGATGCAAAGTATGAGTGATGGCATCTTGCGAACGGTCTTTCTGAGCAGTGATGCAAGGAAGTGGCTGCAAAAAAGCCGCAAATCTCATTATCTTACAGTGCCTGGTTCGATATAGTGCCGTTTTCGGCCCACTGACAGAGGGAGGCCACTATATCGCGATCCCCGTGTACTGGCATTCAGAGACGTCAATAAAATGATTAAATTGAATTTTAATGTATGCTAAATTGGATCAAGATTGAATTCAATCGCACTTATGCGGTAGGCGACAGCCAATGGTGTGCTCTCGTATGGCACGTTGGTAGTGACAGATTCCATTATTTTAACTTTGTGTGCGCCATCATACTGTTAAGAAAAGTATTTAATGGACCAATCAGGTGCACGCTGACGTCCATACATGTCCAAACATGCCCGTCCATGCTGTCTTAAAGGAGGGCCTGAGCAAGGCGAATTCAGATAGCAGATACGTACAGGGTACTGTACACTGTAATATGGGAACCCGCCTTGCCCTTCCTCTTCACTGCACTCCCTCTCATCCCTCTTATCCTGATCTGACGGCCCTTTGAGGCATCCCCCTGTAAACTGGACTTTGCCCCCCCTTGACCCGCCAAAACCTTCACTCTACTTTTTACAGCTGCTGAGACACGGGGGCCACGCCAACGTTAGGTCATGCCTCATCACTCACCATGTGACGTGCTTCACCTGAGACGGGCGACTCCCTGCCACCTGCCACGCCCAGGCGTCGCGTCGCCCCGCACGCCATGTCCACCCCACCGGGCACGGCTTCGGACCCCATCTTCACCGACGCCCCGCCGCTCAGCGCTGGCGTCGCCTTCGTCATCGGCGTGGCCGGCGCCGCCCTAGTGCTTGCGCAAACCGTGCTGCGCGCGTGGCGCCGCGTGTCGCTCTCGCAAACCCGCGGCCTGCTTCTCGCGCGCGTGCACCTGCTAGTGCTCGTGCTCGCCGCCGTCGCCGCCGCCTCGCTGCTCGGCTCGCAGCGCTTCTTCGCGGATGACTCGCGCCCGCTCGGCTGCCTGCTCCCGCTCCTCGGCGTCCTCGCCCCCTTCGTCTTTCTCGCCCGCCGCCCCGACGCGACCACTTCCTCCGTCACCCGCCCGACCCGCACCAGGCTTCTCGACTGGCTCATCCAGTCCCCAGTCAATCTCCTGCTGCTGCTCCCGGGCCTCGCCTTGTCGGGGCTGTGCGTGTGGGGCATGGTCGTCGCCGAAGCCTGGGATGTGCTTGCGCTCGCCTTCTCAGCCTCGGTCGCGGTTCTCACTCGCGCCGACCCCGTTGTGTATCGCGCGTGGGATGGAGTTGGCGCCCGGTGGCAGTGGGGTCGTGTCCTGCCCAGTCCGGTGCGAAACGCCGCTTGGCGCTTCGTCATAGGCTGTTGAAGCGTCACTTAGTAACCCTAGCATCTCAGAAGTGTCGAAGTATCTAGTGTCTAGGTGACAAATGACCTCATATGAGGTCACTTTTCAACTTATTTTTCTCGACTTGTGCTAGCTCAACAAGATGGAAAAAAGATACTCTCGACACGGCAGTTGACTTCTGCGTTGTGGAAGGGTGGAGTTTGGTGAGATCTGCACGTCTTCTCCAGCCATTTTTAAAATGCCCAAAAAGGAGCCTTTTTTGACCAACCTCAAAACGTTTTATGTTGATAACTTCGAAACCAAAACGCCTGTTTAAAAAGTCAACTCATCATTGATACTTCATTAGATTCTTAGTCTCTCTGTGCATTGACAACCGCCATCCCAATGTTTTGTAAGATGTTATTGCCGAGCGCGTATACGTTAAAGAAATGGTGTCCAAACTGAATGTTTTAAAGTTTCGATTTAATTTATATATTTTTGCAAAAAAAAACCTGGCCTCATATGAGGCCACGACTGACCTCATATGAGGTCAAATTGCTTGTCGTCTAGACACTAGAGCATCTTTGTGAGACATGAATTGCAGTTCTACAAATTGGTGCGGTGGGCCAAATTTTACGTCTGATCATACGTGCGCAGTGTGCTGATCTCAGTTGATCCTTGACGCACCTTGACGCACGTAGATTATCAGCAACTGTGCCTTTGGAGCACAATTCGAGCCTGCATATGTCAGGCTTCCCTCCCGTAGAATATAAATAGGCAATAGGCAAAGGTCCTAACATAAATAGACCTTAAGTGCGAAACACATTGGCAAATTCCATAACCTTTCTATAGGTTATGGGCACAGAAACGTAACCACTGCGTCAATTATCTACCTGTGTTCGCCTTCAATCTCATCGTCAGTGGCAAGCCCAAGTCAAACAAGGGCCGAAGAACACTCCGTCGATCGACCCAACACAGCGTTGTAGAGGAAAAGTTCCGTCCGTGAGACTTAGTGAATGTTAACCAAGCATCATTACAAGAACTGTTTCATTCAAATACAGTACCATTAACAGTGTCAACCAAGCAATTACAAATTCAGTGTCAATTAAGAACTGTACCATCAATCAAGATCGAAAACTCGAGGACGGACACGATCGATACAAGTCGCTATCGGATTCCAGCCTTGACTACTGATAATCATTTTATGTGGTCCCACAAGATGGAGTTCGTGCTCCGTGGTAAGGGACTCTGGGAAATTGTTACAGGAGAAGAAGCAGTTCCCACGGATGCTACTGAGAAAGTCAAGTATGAAAGACGTCGAGATCTTACTTTAACGAACATCATTCTAACAATTGACGATTCTTGCAACGCTGCCGTCATCACACTTCGTTATCCCAAACAAATGTGGGATAAGTTGAAAGAGATGTATGAGGCGGTATCAGAAGCTCGCATAGACGCCTATCTTAGTCAGTATCAGAAGCTAAAAATGGGTGCTAACGAGAAAGTTATGGAGTACGTCAACCGGCTTTCTGTACTCGAGAACAAGCTTGCCGCCGTAGGCCACGTCCTTTCTACTACGGAAAAGAGAAGGGCGCTGCTTCGAGGCTTAAGAGACGAGTTTGCTATTACGGCGGGAGTCCTTAGAGCTACACGAAAGTATTTCAATGCATCTGTAGCAGAACTTGTCACCCAAGAAGCTGAACTAGACTCCAACGTTGGAGAAAACGAAGATTCATCTGCGCTTACAGTACGTGAAGACGACCCCTGCAGATTCTGCAAACGAAAGGGGCATGCATCTCTACAGTGTTTTTTCAACCCAGATGGACAAAATTATCGACCGCAACTCGCGAAGAAGCGACGTGATCGCATGCGAGGAAACAGGAACGGTGGAAATCACAGAAGCCAGAAAGGAAGACAAGGACATCGTCACCCGTCCAACAACCACTCTGCGTACTTGGATGTGTCCTTTGTAGCTAAGTGCAGCATAGGGAAGAAAAGCACCCAAGGCAGCCGCTCTGAGAAGCGGTTCATTGATTCTGGGGCTTCTACCCACATGTGCAACGATCGTCACTTATTCAAATCTATGAGCAGAAATTCAAAGGAGCGTTCAGTCGAAGTAGGTGATGGAGAGTTTACGGACGTGAAGGGAGAGGGTACAGTACACTGCAGGACCATCGTAGATGGAGAGACGAAGCCCGTTGCTCTGACAAACGTACTGTACGTACCATCCCTCATGTATAACCTCATCTCTGTAAGCCGCATGCGAAAGGCTGGATTTCGTGCTACCTTTGACACGGATAATCAAGGAGAAGGTTTTTGCGTGATCAGCGATCTCAAGAAGGGGAAGTCGTATCTAAAGGGGATTGAGGGCAATGACAGCGGACTATATCAGGCAATATTAAAGCCTCAGGCTCTACAAGAGGGAAAAGCGCTTGTGACCTCTGCCAACAAGCAATTAATTTGGCATGAGCGTCTCGGCCACGTAAGTGAAACAAGTATCAGGAAGTCCTTGCCAATTGTCGACGGTGTAAGTCTTGAGGTGGTTTCAAGTATTCCAGACTGTGAGCCCTGTAGACTTGGAAAGTCTGTCCGCGACTCACGTCCACCAGCGTCCGAAGAATCTCGGAAAGCAACTAAGCCCCTTGAGCTTGTCCATACTGACCTAGTCGGCCCTATAAGGCATGAATCTCTCAGTGGGAGTCGCTGCTTCATTCCCGTTTACGACGACTCAAGTGGAATTTCTCTCATTAGGTTGCTCAAATCTAAGAAAGAGGCGGGTAATGCCCTCAAGGAAATGATCACAGAGCTAGAGACTATACACAACTGTAAGGTCCAGAAGTTACTTGTCAAGAGGGTTCGTTCCGACAACGGTAAGGAGTTCTTATCCAAAGACGTACAGCAATGGCTCGGACAAAAGGGAATTCAGCATGAGCTTACAGCGCCCTACTCGCCGGAATCTAATGGCAAAGCCGAGCGACTGAATAGGACACTACTGGACATGACGAGGACAATGCTAATGGGAGCTCGTCACATTCCTGGCTATAGGCGCCTGTGGGCTGAAGCAGTAAATACTGCAAACTATCTTCGGAACCGTCTCTTTACATCTGCCAGTAACGACCCAAACAAGACTCCATTCGAAACAATTTTCGGGAAGAAGCCCAATCTGTCCCATGTCCGTAAATTTGGAGCAAAGGCATACGTACACATACCAAAACGTAAACGCCGAAGCAAACTGGACGAGAGGGCTGAGATCGGATATTGCGTGGGATTCGCAGCTGGAAATGTCTGCCGCGTGTACTTGCCGCACGCAAGGAAGGTAATTGTCTCACGCGACGTACAGTTCGAGGAACATCTGGCTCAACAAGCGAATCTAGAGGTCGATGATACCCCAGTGTTCGAAAACTTGGGGCGAGGTGCCGAAGTTAATATAGAACTCGGACCAAGAAAGGACCATTCAGAAGCACCCAACAGTCACAGCGACAACGTTGACGTCGACACGAACGAAATGCTGACTTACGTTCCAAACGTGAGACGATCATCCCGCACATCGCATCCACCCGCAAGGTACGAGCCAGGAAACGCGACTGTTTCCATCGCTCTACTCCACCGAATGGGAGAGGCCGATGGTAAAGTGCCACTGACTTACAGTGAAGCTATGACAAGTAAAGAATGCGACAAGTGGAAAACCGCCATGGATGAGGAGATCAAACAGCTCAACAAAGACACTTGGGAGTTGGTCCGGTTACCAGCAGAATCGAAACCCGTCAAATCTAAATGGGTTTACACAAATAAGACCGATGCGAGTAACGCAGTCACCCGTCAACGAGCTCGCTTAGTAGCTAAGGGTTTCTCTCAAAGGGAAGGCTTTGACTACAACGAAGTCTTCGCTCCCGTGGCAAAGTACAGTACTGTTCGTTTGATACTGGCCCTTGCCGCCCAAGAGGATCTGGAGATACTGCAGCTTGATGTCAAAGCCGCGTTTCTAAACGGTAAGCTCAAGGAAGACATCTATATGGAACAACCTGAAGGGAACGTTGACATGAAGCACCCTGATTTTGTGTACCACCTACTGCGAGCAATATATGGTTTAAAACAGGCTTCGCGTGCCTGGCACAAAGTCTGTGATGAATTTCTCAGGTCCATGGGATGTAAGAAGTCAAATGCTGATACAAGTCTGTACATACTCGCAACGGAGAATGGAACGGTCTATATAGTAGTATATGTGGATGACATGCTACTCATTGGAAGCTCTCTGGATGCGTTACAGAAGTTGGCCGACGTGATTGGGAAACAGTTTGAACTTCGCATCGAGAAGTCTGTCACCAAGTTTCTCGGAATCATCGTCGAGCGCAATAGAGCGGCAGGCACAATCAAAATACATAGTGCCCCAATGATTACACACATGATCTCTACCTTTGGACTGGATCAAGGCCGTACTGTATCCACTCCGCTTCCACCTGGAGTAGTTCTACCAGGATTGAAGGAATCCAACGAGAACGTTAGTACAAGAATGGAAAAGACACCGTACAGGCAGTTGGTGGGGTCACTGCTACACCCCGCCAACACGACTCGCCCCGACATCGCTTACAGTACCAGCCTCCTCTCACGCTTTCTGGAGAATCCAGCTCCTGAGCACTGGAATGCCGCCAAGTACGTACTTCGATACTTGAAGAAAACCAAGTCGTTAGGAATCGTCTACAGTAAGAACGAAAAAGCAGGACTACGCGGTTTTACCGACTCCGACTTTGCCGGGGATAGGATTACGCGCAAATCAGTGAGTGGGTTTGTTTTCAAGTTAGGCGGGGGAGCAGTCAGCTGGAGGAGCAAGAAACAAGATACAACCGCTCAATCAACCTTGGAAGCAGAGTACATCGCGATGTCATTTGCAGTCCGCGAGGCGATCTGGCTCCGTAGGATGCTATCGAAAGCCTGGGGACACTCATCATTCGCATCTACAGTATTGTTCGGAGACAATCAAGGCGCAATGGACTTGGCATACAACGATGTTATCAACGAACGCTCTAAACACATAGACGTCAAGTATCATTTCTCAAAGGAGAAAGTCAACGATGGTACAGTAGTGTTCAATTACATTCCTACTTCGGAGATGACGGCAGATATTATGACAAAGAGCCTCACGGCCGACAAACACAAGTATTTGGTCAAGAAACTCGGGATGCAACAACAAGGCAGTGACTTGGGGCGACTCCGCTGATATTCAAGGCTGAGGGGGAGTGTTGAAGCGTCACTTAGGAACCCTAGCATCTCAGAAGTGTCGAAGTATCTAGAGCATCTTTGTGAGACATGAATTGCAGTTCTACAAATTGGTGCGGTGGGCCAAATTTTACGTCTGATCATACGTGCGCAGTGTGCTGATCTCAGTTGATCCTTGACGCACCTTGACGCATGTAGATTATCAGCAACTGTGCCTTTGGAGCACAATTCGAGCCTGCATATGTCAGGCTTCCCTCCCGT